GTTGGGGGCTGGGCTCCTCCTTTGTTCTGTGCCAAATAAAAAAAGTCTAGATGGTGCCACCCCTACTGGGGTGTTTATAAGTTGAAATAATATTTTCCCCTGCATTAAATGTCTGGAAAAGGGCCTCAGCTGAGGTGGATGTATCATGAATTAGATGAAGCTGAAGCTGCAGGGCTCCCCACTTGCCTAGGTCCCTTCCAAGGTCTTAGGAGGGGTCCTAGCAATTTTTATGTTCATAACTTTGCATGTTTTTATTCGATGGGATTTTTCCAAAGTAGATGAGGTTCAAGCCCCACAAAACCTTGATTCATCCCTGGGTTTCAGGTAATTATAATTCAGTAGGTTTCTTGATTAAAACCTCTGTTACTGACAAACACCAGGTGAACAAGTGAGAGGTGTGCTAGAGTCTACTTTGAGTCTGAAGTCCACCTCAAAGACAAGCCAAGAGCTAATTAGTTAATAAAGTACCGTTTTTTAACTTTGTTTTGTTTTGGTGGTGGGAGGTAATTTGACTTATTTGTTTATATATTCTCCGAGGTGGTACTGGTACTGCTAAGTTTAATTATTTCCTCCTTATCTATAATTTTTGTCGCTTTGATTACTATGTGACTTGGTGTGCTTCTCTTTGGGTGGATCCTGTGTGGGACTCTCTGTGCTTCCTGGATGTGGGTGACCATCTCCTTTTCCAAGCTGGGGAAGTTTTTGGTTATTAGGACGTGGGCTATTTTTCAAGGCTCCCACTGGCATGGAGAGCAAAGGTCTAGGACAAGTTAAAGCAACGCAGATCTCACTGTCCCGACAGAAGTTGATGTGTTTTTCTTAAATAAATTGCTCCTCAGATTGCTGCAAGCCTGTTGATTAAATTTCCAGAGTTCTGAGAAAGTTGATTCTGACCATCTTTGCCAGTTTTTGTTGTTGTTTTATGGAGGGATGAATTTTCAGATGTCCTCACTCCACTGTTTACTGATTAGCCTGCAACATGGTTTAAAATCTCTAAAGCCTCAATGACTATAGGCTAATTAAATATTTAATCATGGGAGATAATTGAAGAAAAGAAATAAGAGAGAAAGTGTAATTCTCATAGAGGCTCTCCCAGGTGGGGAGATGAAATTTGAAAAGGTATTTCTATATTTAGTGCCCTCAGAATTAAGGTTAAAGTAATAGTTATTTTAAACACACTCCCCTCCCCCTTTTTTAATGCAGGTTAAACACAGGCTTTGGAGTCAGAAGTGAGTTCAAATTCC